ATTGCTTTATTTTCCATTCTTTTTTATTTTGAATTTCTTTTATTGTTAAGATGTATATAAAATTATTTTATTTTTGAAACAGTACTTATTCAACTTTCTTCTTCTTTTTTTTTCTGTTTTTTATTGTTATGATAAAGTAAACCACAGTGGATTGATTCAAACTTTCACTTCTCACTCCCATTATTTCATTTAGGATTGTCTCTTAATTGGTTTTGTTCATTGTTTTGTTTAAAAGATTTGTCAGTCAACACATTGAAGATTGTTAATCAAAATCAATTAATCAAAACAAATGATGATTGATTTTTGATGAATAAAAGATAACAACATGAAATGACAATAGCAAATAAATGACTTATTGTCTTCTTATCAAATCTCATTTCATTTGATTTAACAACATGAATATAGTCATAATGTGGTGAATAGAATATGTTAGTTCATAAGATGGTTACATTCTAAACATATTCCTGATGAATTTAAACACGTTGAATGATAACTATGACCACATCCAAACACATTGAGTATTTCGTCCTTTTCTTTATGACAAATAATACATTCTTTTCTTGTAATAACTCCTTTTTTTAATTCTTTGTTATGGCGTTGTGTTGATTGTTTTAATTGTTCATTCGCAATAATCTGGAGTGTTTTGTACATTGTTAACTTCGATTGACTTTGTTTTATTAAATCATTTAATACCATTCTTAATAAAACACCTTCTGTGATTTTACAACAAAACTGAATTGACTCTTTTATTGGTGTCATTGAACATTCTATTTCAACTATTTCTCGATACATTTTGTTGTATGCTTCATAATATTCTCTTCTTCTGTTCATTATTTCATTGCATTTCTTCATCACTTCAACACATTCTTCGTTTTTCGTTATGTCTGTTAATTGACATGTTTCACTTACTTCTTGGAGATCCTCCATGATTCCTTCATACATCTCACTGATTTCTTCTTTCTTTTCATTTCCTTCTTCTTCTTTTTGACTTTGTTTGTCTAACTCATTTAAACATGTGGTACTTCTTCTTTGAAGATTTTTAAAGCATTCTTCAATTTCTCCTTTCTTTCTTCTAATCATCAACACTGTTCTTTCATCTTTGAATTTTAATGCCAGTTGAATGACTTTATCCAAATCACATGTTTTTCTATTGATGATTTGTCTGATTTCTTTTGTGTCTTTTTTCATTTCATAACAACTCTCAATTACCTTCATAACAATACAGCTCATATTTCTTTGAATGATTGGACTTGGGTCATTCATTAATATTCTTCCATATTCATAAATGATTTCATGTGGTGTGTTTGGTTGAACTAAACAATATAACCCACAACTTGCAACATATTTAACTCCAATAATGATTGTTTTCTTTATATCCATTTCATACATTCGTTTTGTGAATTTTTTAACTGTTTTCTCAACATTTTCTCGTTCTATTCCTTTTCTAATCCATCTTTCTATCTCATTCCAAACATCTCCTTTTTGAATAATGTCCATTGTCATTAATGCATCACGTGCTGTTTCACATTCTTTTAATCTACGTAAGATTTTCTTATTATTAACTGAAAATGCTGCTTTGACTATTTTATCTATTTCTGTTCCACTTCTTTCTTTAACACACTCTTTAATTCCTTCATTACACATTTCTTCATCTTCTTTATTGTAATCCTTTGATGTTAAAACAATAAAAATAGCTTCTTTCATTCCTTGTTCTCCATATTTCATTCTAACCACTTCTCTTGCTACACATTCTTTAACCTCTGTGATGGGACTTTTCATTGTTTCTATTAATCCTGAGATAACTTCTTTCTTTTCTCTAATGTCTCTCATTACATCTATTGTTTTTTCTTTACAAACAATAATTCCTGCTTCAATTAATGACATTCCATGTGTATTATTAAATATTGTATCAATCATTTCTTTGTCATTTCCTTCGGCATTACATCGTTGTGCATTTGTAATAATCATTTCAATATTCTTTTTCATACCTTCATCAACTAGACTTGTTGGTGTAATTCCATGATTGAGAATATTATGTGAAACAATAAGAAATGCTTCAATTGTCTTTTTACCTAATGACCTATACAATGTGAAGATAGTAGAATATCTTGAATATTCAATGCATATACTGATTACTGATGCAATATCTAATACATTTGAATAATATCCTATTATTCTTTCACTTATTGTATTATCTTTATTTTTCAATCCATTCACAAATACTTCCCATACATTTTTCTTATTTATTTCTATTTTCTTTCCTTTCTCCATTATTTCTTCAATTACTTTATTTAGTATTGTTTCTTTTTGTTCTTTGGGAGTATATTCAATTAATGTATCAATACATTCTAATTCTTTTGCATATTCCCAACATTCTTTACCTTCTTTTGCCATTTTGCTTATTATTTCTTTTCCTTTTCTTTTCATTTTTATTGACCCTTTTGTTTCAATACATATCTTCAGTTGTTCTTCTTCATTTTCTATTTCATCGATCACTTCATCTTCTGTTGGCATATCAATACTTTTGAACATATTCATTGTAACCATTACTATCACCTTCTCATTATTCTGACATTCTTCTATTTGTGTATTATTTATTATTTCTTTTTCTCCTTTCCCATAAACAACTTGAATTTGATTGTTGTATTGTGTTAAAATGAATGTGTCACAGCAAATAATAGATATTGGTGTTTTAACTTCGATTTCTTTCAGTAGTTCAACCGTAAACTTCCCTTCATCAAATCTTTCTTCATATAAACTCACATTATTGTTATGTAATATACAAATGTGTGGTAGTATTTCACTCTTTTGAAATTGAAGAAGAGGAGGGGATGAAATACTTTGGATCTTCTTATAGAGATAATACTCTGTTGGTGGACATGTGAATGGTGGAATGCAGCTCTGATACTTTGATTCATTTCTATTCATTTTCTCATCATTTAAATCACATAGCCATAAAAACACTGATTTACTTGTTGCCAACATGAATTGTCCAACTTCTTTTGTTTTTGCTGTGACATGTGTTAAACATGAATTTGATAAGACATCAACATGTCCACGTTGTCCAAATCCAAGAATTGATGGATCAGGATATTCAATTACTCTCAGTGTTTTATCCTTTGAATATAGTGTGAAGATTCTTGGTGATAAGAAATATCCTTTTGTTGCTCCTGCAATCACTTGTCGATAAAACACTCGATATGTTTGAATTTCAATGACTAGTACTGTGAAATCACTTGAAATTGTAAGTATTAAATCATCGTAACAATCAATACTAATGACTGGGGCTGATTTTATTAATGGTGGTGGTGTATGAATAGTACTTTCTTGTGTATCAAATTTATAACAAATAATTGTATTAGTATCACTTACACATACCATTCTTTTATCATCCATACAATATCCTTTGATGTTTAGTGTTTCTTTTCTAATAAGAGCGTTGAGTTGATTAAATCTATCATCATTATCCATTTCTTTGTTATTCCTTTTTCAGTTCTTTTTATTTCTTTTATTAAATAATTTGAAATGGAAATGAAAATGTGAATATCAACCAATATCATTAATTTTTATTGAATAGAATATTGGACATTATCACCTAATGTGAATGTTGGTGTTGTTGCACATCTTGCATATTTTCTATTAAATCCTTCAAATCGTACAAATGTGAAGAGTAATGGATTTGATTCTTCTCCTCCTTCATAACACACTCTAACATTAACCACACCTTGTTCATGTGCAGGTGTAATTACAATTATTTCTGTATGTGATTTAAATGTTGCCAATGTGGTAATAGTTCCAAATTCTACTTGATACTTTCTTCCTGAATATGGAAATCTCCCATTGATGGAAATCCTTGTTCCACCACAGCATGGTCCTTCAGTTTGTGAGAGTTTTTTAATAGTACACACAAGAGGGAGTATCATTCTGATAGTTGATTTGTCATTAATATTCCATTCTTCACATTTTCCTTTCTTTGGCAATACATACCCATTATATATTAATGTTATTTGATGTAATGCTAATTTCTTTTGTTCTTCAATTTCGGAGTAAATCATCTCGAGTTTGATTGGTACATTCATTTCAATATATTGAACAAATTGATGGTTATTGAACAATTCAATTATCATTGTTTTTTTTTATTTCACAGATGATGATGAAGAACCACATCATCCTTTCATTTCTTGAACTATAATAGCTATGTACTTTCACTCTCTTTTTAGTGCATATTCTTGATTATTTCCTTCATTTGTTTGTTTTATTGGTGATTGGTTCATTAATCATTTATCTCTTCTTTTGTTTATTTCAACATATTTTGTTGTTATCCCATTGTTATTCTTAGTGTAAACTAGCTAAAAAGCAATTAATTAAGTATCAATAGAAGTGTTTTGTATTGTTCCTACCTCAGTGGAGAATAACTGATTCTATGAGTTGTTCTCTAGTAGTTCTACAACAAATGTTTGGTTGTGATAGAAGTAATGCTCCATAACATCCTCCCTACTTTTTTATCATAAAATTTTTTATTTTTTTTTT